AATTATAACTTTTTCTTCTGTACAAATATTTTTTGCTGCTTTGTTTCGTGTATATGGTGATTATTAAAACTCAAAACAGAAGGCCAAACAATATACAGACAACCTCACCGCAAAGTTACTACACTCAAATCAAAATTAATTCTACCTTTTCCTGGGTTAGCTTAGTCGGGCTCTGAACAGCCCGGCCCAGGAACTACGCTTTTAGGCTGGCCTAAATCTATATATTAGTGCCCAATGTTGACATTTTTTTTCTCCAACAAATCTTGTTCATATGTCAACAACTAGTTCTCTCTCATAAGGAATTTTATTGCCTTCATTGCTGAAGCTCAGGAAGGATATAATTGTTCTCTATGTACTTAATACAGACAGTAGTGCCTGTCTTATCCTTAGTCATCTCTTATGAGATGATGGGAAGACGAAATATTAGCTGGCAGGACATCCATCCCTCATTTCCCACATCCTGGTAGTGATGCATTGGTGTGCTTTGATACATTTTGAACCCATACACCAAGTGCTGTCCACCTTTGGTAGGCAGATACATCTCCTTCGTAAGTAGGCAATTGTGGTTCTGAACACAGATCAATAGTGCAGTGCCATATTCTCATTGTGGTTTCTATCTGGCTGCAGGTTAAAACCCCTGAAAAATATGGATTTGAGCCCAAGAGTCTGCTAGATAGACTCACACAAATTTATGTGAATCTTGACTCAGATCAATTTGCACAAGCTGTGGCTGGAGACCAGGTAAGAAAAATGAGAAAACAATGTCATCACTATGTTACTATGTTTCAAATGAACTTAACTTTGTATCAAAGAAAACCCATGTACAACTCATGTTGGTAATAAAAGCATGGATGACACTATCACAAAATCTCTATTACTGTGATAGAGGTATTTTCAAAAATGGTATTTTCAATGTATTTCTGTGAGGAAAATCAGTGAAATCAAGGCCTGGCATGAATCATGAGGATGGTAGTATCAAAAAGGAAGACCCCGAAAATGAAGACCCCCCTACAAAAAACAAAGACCACCTACGAAAATGAAGACCCATTACAAAAACGAAGACCCCCTACAAAAACTCCCTAGAATTTTTCTTAGAGCACAGCATTGCAAAATACCAAAAGTTTCCCAGTCAAATCACTGTATTTGGAACCTCTTGTAAGTGACCACCCCTCATAAGCAACTGCGACCACTTTTAGAGCTGAAAGTTTGAAATTTTGTTTTTAACCTCCCGTAAGCGACCACTTGACAGATAATAAAGCGAAATTTGGATAATAAGGTGTTGTAACATTATTGCATTCCTGGGTAGTACTGAATTTTTTCTCGAAATCGATTTTTCACATGAATAAAACTTTGAAAATCTAAAGATAATATGCGCATACACTGTACTCTATCAGTCATAAAAGAGTTAACCTAAATGTTTTAAAATTACCATATGCTAATGAGGCAAAATTTTGACCCGATATGTTCTAATCTCTCGTAAGCGACCACCTTGCGTAAGCGACCACATAGGCTTGACATTTTGGGTGGTCACTTACAGGAGGTTTGACTGTACAAACGCAAATGTAACGGTTCCTCTTCGTAACAAGTTTGAAATAAAGAAACTGACACGACTAGAAACGAGTGAAGGCCACAGACCAAAAGACATAGCATGAAATATCATAATACTTATAGTGGTATTATTTCAACATTTGCTCTCATTATTCATGTATGTAACAAGATGTGGTCAAGAAGGGATGTCAATCTCCAATCGAGAAAATCTCTTTAATAGCGTTCCAACGAACACACTGTTGCTGGTCTTATGATCTCACAGGACTGTGCCTTATTTCTAAATCAAATGTCACATGAATTCAAGATAATGCAATCGTAACAAACTATTGTTACCTTATTGGTACTAATTCTTGCGGGCACTTAATTGCGAGAAAAAAAGGTCGGCATATTTCACAGGTCTTCATATGGGGGCCCATTCTGGTCAAAATAAATGTTTATTTTGCACTTGTCAATGGACTTAATTGTAAGGTACCAGTTATTATTTGTTTGAATATGTAAAAATATTTTTACCTCTGTTGAATTAATTTAATTTCCATAAATTATTTTCTTTATGCGAAGGGATTATTTTTTTCCTGCGGAGAAATTATTTTTTTATGCCTTTTTTTGTTTTTTTCTATAGAGAATTAATTTTATATCCCTTTAAAATTTTTTTCGGAATAGAAATTACTTTTATATACCTTTTAATTGTTTTTTTAAGGTCATATTTATTTTATCTACAGAAATAGATTTTGTTGAACGAACCTAGAATTATTTTTGTGTTTTTTGTCCCACACGTCTTTGCGGCAGTGTTCTCAGCCATGTGCTAACAACATGGCGGCTCGTCAACAAAGGTCACATCGAGTGGTGTTACGAGAAAGAAATGAACGTGGGTTCGCACTGTTTCTTCAGAATCTTAAAGGCATTCTCAATATTTTGGCTAATATTGGTGAACAAGAGTTGCAGACAGACATTCTTATTGAAACAAGGTATCGATTATTGGATGCATTGGGTACCTTGTCTTTTCTAATGAATGATTTTGCCGGCGGTGTTACAAATGTAACTGATATCCCTTCATCTGCACTTCAAGCCCTGTTCAGGATATGAACCATTCATTAACACAGTTAATCGCCTTATTGTCTAGTCAGATTGAAAGCCGTGACAATGCAGATTTTTACGATACACTCGAGGTATCTTATTCTGCTCCGCTGAATCTTGCACAGCCAGGACGAGGTCGTAAATGCTATGAAATAACCAAAGATCAAGTGGAGCATTTACGATTACTTTTTTTCTTGGGAAGCAATTGCTGGCATTCTCCAGGTTAGTGTTTCAACCCTTCAGCGGCGACAAAAAGAATTTGGTTTGAGTGATTTGGCCTTCTCAGATATATCAGACAATGAACTGGATGAAATTTACAGAAGTATAACTGGCAGTCCAACAACAGGACTTCCAACTCCTAACATTGGAAGAAGGCGATTTATAGGTGCACCAAGGAGTAGAGGCTTGAACGTTCAGAGATGGAGAATCAGTGAATGTTTACGACGAGTTGATCCTGTTGGAACTGCCTTACGCTGGAGAATGACCATTCATCTTAGAAAGTATTATGTACCAACCACCAATAGCCTATGGCATATAGATACAGGACACAAATTAATCAGGTATAAACTGATAACACATGTCTGCATCAATGGGAAGACCAGGTTAATTTTGTATGCTGCTTGTCGAGACAATAACAAAGCAGAAACAGTGCTTTCTTTATTTCAGAATGCAGTGCAGAGATGGGGATTACCCTTGCGAGTGCATTCAGACTATGGTATGGAGAATTATCTTGTTGCTGCTCATACGACACAACATCGCGGACCAGGAAGAGGCAGTATTATCACTGGATCGTCTATCCATAACTCCAGGGTTGAGAAAACACATCGCGATGTTTGTTCAGGGGTGTTAGTATTCTATGTCCGCATTTTTCTGCAGTTGGAAGATCAAGGCAACTTGGATGTCCTTAATGATCTACATATTTTCAGCCTACACCATGTCTACATTCCAAGAATAGAAAATTGTCTAGAGGTGTTTGTCAGGCAAATGAATAATCGGCCAGTGTCAACTGAAAGGAACCTGTCACCACTTCAAATGTGGGAGAAGGGTATGCTAGAGAACTTACATTCTGGACATACTGCATTAAGTGAGGCTGAAATTGACCACTTTGGAGTAGATCCAAATGGTGTGCAAGCAGTAGAAGATAAAAATTACCAGGTAGAAATTCCACCACCATTAATCAGCCTTTCAGATGAACAGCTTGTACAGCTACCAGATCCTCTTTCAGATGATGGAAATGGTGGAAAAGATCTCTTCCTGCAATGTATTGATATCATTAACATGTTTCTGACCTCGAGTGAAGTCTCTTGAGGCCTAAATGGAAGTACCAAACAATGCCACTATAATTAAATTTTTTTCTCATCCATAGAAGCAGATATTCAGGGCAACAAATTCACCAGTTTCCTCTTTAACTTCTTGATCATTCAAATTTAAACATTATTTTGACAAGATGTTTTGCTGTTCACAATTTTTTTAGAGGTGAGGGGGGTAATTGCCCTCCTGCCTGCCCCCAATATGAAGGTTCATCCCTAATAGGTTTTCTAAAGGAAAGCAGTTGGAAGCAGTTTTCCTGTGGTTAAATAGATTAATCATTTGATCTGCCACAAAAGCGATGCAGTTTTTTATTTGCACACTAGCCAAACATGAATTTCATTAACAAAAAACAAGAGTTTCAAATCAAGTTGTATCCATTATTAAAATGCCATGCTTTGTCAATATCTTTCTCCAATTTTTGTTATTGACATCGTTCATAGATAGATGGATCTTTGAATCATAGATAGAACAGATCTCTAAGCTTCTCTATATCATTGGAATATTAAGTTTAATTATCCCTAGTCACGGGCTTTTCCAGTTATAGATTTCAATAAAATTGAGTGGTGATGCTCCTGTTTAATTGATGTTCATAGATCATTGCTTTGATCTGTAAATTATGCCTGTATTGCTAATAGAAAACTCAGAACAGATTTATTGCATTTAGTTATTTACTTTTATTAACAGCAACATAAAATGAATAACTTCATTCAATTTCAGTAATTATTGCACTGAGGTCAATCAAACCTAACTACTTAAACTGCCAACAAGAAAGACAACAGTGCCTGTATATAAACCCGTCAGTATATATGGAGGTATAGAACTTAAAACTTAAATTAAGCTTGCTTCAACTTAAATTTATTGTGTGGCAACATTGTCAAGTTCAAAATATTGATGACAATGAGTCTTGAATACAGGAAAACATTGATGGAACCTTAGCTTTAAGTATTTTCTGAGCCACCAATTAAATTTTTGTCTTTTCTTGATTCTACAAATAGTGCATGCATCTGCATAAAGTAATATAAACTGATGCATTAAATCTTATTAAAATGTCAACTTAAATCAATGAACCATCATTTTACCCAANACGCAATCAAGCAAATGCAACTGCCCAGCACAGCCACAGAAGCAACAAGCTTTCTTGGATTAGTAAATACCGTGGCCCGTTTCGTTCCAAACCTCACTGCTATGACAGAGGCTATACGAAGAATCACACACAAGAACCATGTTGTGGGGCCCGTAGCAATCTGATTGACACAAAAATTACAAATTTATTTTTTTCTTTTTTGGTTAATTTCTTGATGTGTTCCCGTTCTAACTTCTGAACACGCTCCTCTCTTCTCAACTCCTCAAGCTCCTTCTGGGGTTCTGAAATAGAGTTCATGTGCAAAAAAAATCACCTAAACGTCCTTTAGGGTAACAAGCAGGCACGTGTTTAGCTTCATCCATTCTGTAATTTACCTTTCCTCATCATCTTTAAAAACCAACCTCTGCGGCTTTTTCAGCGGTGGTTTTTTCCTGATTCTGCTACACGTCACGAAAAACGTAAATACAAATAAGTGAAAACAATTATAGAACGTCACTCTCCAATACAAGACTCGGGTTAATAATTTCACTTTTTTCACTACCCACTTTTTGGCTTGCATAATGAAGCAACAACCACGAAATGCAGTCGGCAGTTAGCTACGTGCTCGTCGTGCTGGACGCATCCATGGTCATAAAATGGCGGGAAATGTCTTAGGAGAGAAATATTTGATCGAAACATTTCCCAATTCTTCATAGTATTCTACTGATAATAACTCAAAAAGTAG